AAAATTGAAATATAAAAAAAACCACAAAACTGTATTTCTGGGCCTGGTGCAGTAGGCTAGTAGCTAAAGTCCTTGCCTTGAACGCGCCAGGATCCCATATGAGTGCCTGTTCCTATCTTGGCTGGTCCACTTCCCTTCCAGCTCCCTGCTTGTGGCCTGGGAAAGCAGTTAAGCATGGCCCAAAGCCTTGGGACCCTTTACTCACGTGGAAGACACGGAAGATGCTCCTGACTTCTGCTTCAGATTGTCTCAACTCTGGCCACTGTGGACACTTGGGGAGTGAAAATCAGCAGATGGGAGATCTTTGTCTTTCCTCCTCTCTGTAAATCTGACTTTCCAAAAAAAAAATAAATAAGTCTTTAAAAAAAAAAAAAGGACAACTATGCTTCTTTGGGCCAGCACTATGGTGCAGCCAGTTAAGTTGTGGTCGGCAGTACTGGCAACTGGCATGGGTGCTGATTAAAATCCCTGATGCTTTACTTCCAATTCAGCTCCTTGCTAATGTACCTTGAAAAGCAACAGAAAATGGCCCAGGTCCCTGGACCTCTGCACCTACATGGGACATGCAGAAGAGATTCCTGGCTCCTGGCTTCTGTGTGGCCCATCCACAGTTGTTGCAGCCCTTTGGGGAGTGATCCAGAGAATGGAGGATTCCTCTCACTATCTCTCCTTCTTGCTGTAACTCTGTTTTTCAAGTAAATAAGTAAATATTAGACAAACAAAAAAAACACACAAAAACAGTTTGTTTGCCAGTCTATGCTATAGACTTATTCTCATCAACATAAAATGTGCAAAATTTACTTTCTTGTTTCAGATGTGTTTGCTTTAAGACAAAGAGTACATTATAACCATTTGACAAGGATGCGTGGATGTTTTCTTGAGAATGCAATAGAGGTTGAGAAAGATAGGTCTGGTGCACACTGTGTGCTATGCTGAGGTTCTCTTTTACACTGGTGAGACAGTGAAACATTTCAAGTCATGGTTACTAAACCACAGTTTTTGGATTTTCTCAGTGAATCACTTCAGTTTTCAAGATCACTCATCCTCCACATCCATTTCCTTGCTGAAGAGCTTAACTAAGTTCCTGCTCTTCATTTCAGAGTTCTTCTGATTTCCCTTACACTTCTGCTGTGATTAGAGAGTTCTGCCTCTTGCTTCCATAGTGATACCACTTTACTACCCTCTCTTTGCATTTACCTTTCATGTTTAGAATGTACCATCTTGCCTACACTTGTCCAAAAGTAGGTCAGGTGTTGTTTGCTTCATGTGCCCTTTTCCAAATATTTTTTCCCATGTGTACCTATGTTTAGTTTTAGGCAGTGAGCACTTAATCACTCCTATTTGCACATTGAAGTATAAATTTTGAAATATCCAGCAATGCTGTCCCTTACTGCTTATTTTAGGCTAAACCAGTTGATAGATAATTTATTAGTTTACAGATGTCAGTGGCATATGCAATTGCTGAATTTTATTAGTTTGTGGCATTCACAATGTTACAGTCTCAGTTATTATTAATTAAAGATTCTAATTAATAGCCTTTTCACTGGTGATGAATCTTACACTATTTTCATCTGTATTGGCCATGAAATGATGCAAGAAATCACTTTTAATTATTAAAAGTGTTTCTGTTATCCTTATACAAGTTTGAAAAAATGTCATCAAATTAATCTCTTCCTGTTTTCTTCAAGACTACATTGTTTCAGTGTAATGCAGTCTGATTTGTTAAGCAGGCTAAAGCACTTTGTGTACCTTTAAGTGCTGTCTTTAATGTCCTTACAGCAGGCATACATTTCTTCTTTTAACTATGTGCAATTCTCGTTGGAGATTCAGGGGATATGGGGTAAAGATTTATTTTACTTACATGAATACCTTTATTCCTCCTTAATTTGTGAAAGAGGTATTGTCAAATGTTAACTTAATATTTTCTTAAAGGAATGTGAAAAAGTGGATTTGTGTCCAAGGAGGAAGTGGCATTAGGTTAAGCTTTATCTTAATTCTGAGGCATTGATCTTACTTTTGTTTTGTTTTTTGGAGTTTTTTTCTTTTGTTGTTGTTTTATTTTTTGTGACGATTACATGGTTGATCAAGGTGGGAAGGATTGAGGTTTAGGGAAAATTAGGTGAACTCATTGCTTCTAAGTTTGCTATTTATTTTTGTTGTTTCTGGGGGAAAGGGAGAGACAAAGGGGGAAACCCTCATGATAAGGAACTGCCACCTCATATCAACCCAGAGTCTCAATGTGTACATGTTCTATCTGCTGATTTGCTCCCCAAACACCTTGACACGTCTGAAGCTGGGATCCAGGAACTCAGTTCTGATGTCACCCATGGGTGGCAGGAATGAAATCATTTGAGCCATCTAGCTGCCTCCCATGATCTGCATTGTCAGGCAGTTGGAGTCTACATTCAGAGCCTGCTATAACATGAAATGCTGTGCTTTGGTAGCTGGGCTAAAAGCTACCCTGTATCATTTTGAAAGTGCTATCTTGGAAGAGTAGGCATTTGTCCAGTGATTTTATTTTTCATAAACTTGCTCTCTCTGTTCGCCTTGTACTGGAGGCTCTAGCTGGGGAAATTTGGCAAAAAGAAACAGAAGGTGTCCGGAATGGAAAATAGTAAAACTATCTTTTTGAATATGATACAATCTTGTAAATAGAAAATCCTAAGAAACACAAGAAAAAATGAGATCTAAAAAGCAAGTTCAGAAAAGTTGTAGAATATCAGTAATGTTGTCTATTAGGTAGATAATCAGGAATGTGAAATTAATAAGATCCCACTTATAAATTACTTGAAAAAAGTGAAATAATGAATAATATATTAGCTTAAAAAGTAAAAAAACAAACCTGTGCCCTTAAAATTACAAAACACTGGGACTGGTTCTATGTTACATCTCACATGGTGCCAGTTAATTTCCTGGATGTTTCAATTCTGATCCAGTTTCCTGCATATGGCCTGTGGAAAGAATGGGGATCCTTGGGCTGTGCACCTACATGGGAGACTCAGAAGTTGTTCCTGGCTTCTAGCTTCGGATCAGCTCAGCTCTGGCTCTTGCAGCCATTTATGGTGTGAACCAGCAAATGGAAGATATCTCTTCTCTTTCTCTTTCCTTCTCTGTGTAACTCTGCCTTTCAAACAAAAATAAATAAATTTTAAAAGCCCTGTAAAACATTATGGTAGGACCCAACGCAGTGGCCTAGTGACTAAAGTCCTCACCTTAAACGTGCTGTGATCCCATAAGGGCGCCGGTCCTAATTCCAGCAGCTCAATTCCCATCCAGCTCCCTGCTTGTGGCCTGGGAAAGCAGTTGAGGACTGCCCAAAGCCTTGGGACCCTGCACCCATGTGGGAGACCTGGAGGAAGTTCCTGGTTCCTGGCTTCGAATCAGCACAGCTCCAGGTGTTGTGGTGACTTGGAGAGTGAATCATTGAAAGGAAGATCTTTCTCTCTGTTTCTCTTCCTCTTTGCGTATCTGACTTTGCAGTAAAAATAAGTCTTAAAAAAAACCACAACATTATAGTAAGTAATTACAGAATACCTGTGTAAGTTGAAAAGCATTCTGTATTCTTGGATGACAAGTCCTTTACTTATAGTGGCATAGTATTTGCATATAATTTATCCATACCCTCCTGTTTATTTAAATCCTCTCTAAAATACTTAGGGTCCTTTTTTAAAGAAATTTTATTTTATTTATTTTTTTATTACATTGCATCATGTGACACAGTTTTTTAGGCACTGGGATTCCCTCTCCCCCTCCTCCAATTTAGGGTCTTAATACCAAAGTATTTCCAAAAATTTCTAGGAAATGGACATACAAGATAAGTTTATTTTATCATTGATTTTTTTAAAATGTGTTTTAAAGGGTATGTGGTTTTTAAATAATAGGCATTTCTATGAACTTTTTGAAGACCCTGTGTCTTCCTGAATTTAAAATGTTATGCAAATAATTCTGTGTAGAGGATAATTATGCCATTTGGTTAAGACATAACCATTTGTTCGGTACAGATACAGCTGTCGTAGGTCTAACTGCATGGTACATGAATGCTGTGAGGCAGACAGACTGGTTATACATTATGTGCAGGAGGGAACCTAAAGATTTATGAAATGGGGGTAGGCAACAGTAGGGCATGTGTAGAAGCAGGCTACACATTGCTTCTTTCTCATGGATTTAGGATTGTACTCAGCATACAATGAATTAAAGTTTTTTTTTTTTTTGAAATTTCGTAACTTTTTTTTCTTTCAAATATTTCTAGTTCATAGTTGGCTGAACCCACAGATGATAAACTTTTGGTTGCAGAGAACCAACTGTTGCCCTAAATTGATCAACAGGTTTAATGGACTTCCTATCAAAAGCTCCATAATGTTTTTCTCAGAAATTATGAAGGCATAGACAAAAATAGTCAATTTTACTTGATGTTTTGATGTAATGATACATTTAAGAAAGACACTATGGCGTAGCATGCTAAGCCTCTGCCTGCTGCATCAGTATCTCATATGGCACCAGTTTGATTCCAAGTACTCCTTTCTGCTCCAGCTCTCTGCTTGTATGCCTGGGAAAGTAGAGGCTAGCTGAAATCCTTGGCCCCTGTACCCATGTAAGAGGCCAGGAAGAATCTCCAGGCCTTTGGCTTCAGATATGACCAGCTATGGCCTTGCTGGCATCTGGGGAGTATACCAGCAAGTGGAAGATCTTAATCTCTCTCTCTTCTCTCCTTTCAAATATATATATAAAAGGCAACAAGCCACATTGACTGTCTTGAAAAAGATAAACATTTCATTTCCCTACCCTAAAGAATATATTTTCTGTTTATAATGAAGTCACATTTGTAGTTACCAAAGTTCTTTGGTTATTTTTTCACTATCCCTTTTTACTAACAATAATACATTTGGCATCCATTTTTTTTCTTAATTATGTTCTTAAAATAGTGCAGGAGTGAGTTAAAGCTCTGTCAATGATATGGATCCTTCCTTTGGTGATGCTTTTTGTCATTTTCTTCTTTGTAGGGAAACTGAATAGTCAAGACTCGTATAACAATTTTACCAACAACAATCCTGGCAATCCTCGACTTTCTCCTCTTCCTAGCTTGATGGTAGTGATGCCTCTTGCACAAATCAAGCAGCCAATGACATTGGGTACCATCACCAAAAGGACAGGGTAAGACGTCAGGCTTTGCACATTGTTTGTTTCTTGCAGCTTTTTTGTTTAAAAGGTTTGAACTAACAAAAACAAAGCACAATTTTCTTTTCATGGTTTTGTGTGTGTGTATGTATATATATATATATATATATACATATATACATATATGTATACATATATAAAAATACATATATATGTATTTTTTTTTGATTTCCAGCCTGTATGAAACTTGATGGCACCAGATTAAGTACAAATTGTAAAATTCGCACAGACATACTCACAAATATCCCTAGAAACAATAATACCAGGAAATTTAGTATGAACTAATAAGAAAAAAATCCATCCACTGAACCTTGTGTTTGTTGTTTCATGGCTTTGCTTGCTATTACAATTTGATTTTATTTTGGCTTTGGTAGAGATCACCAGGATTTAAAATGACTAGTAAGGAAAGAGTTTTAGATTGCAACTGTGTATCTAGTTCTTTCTAAAAATAATCTATATTGAAATAGAATTAACATAATTTTCTGTTAAGGGCAATGAGATGTTATGCATAATTTAAAAATTAAAAGCTCTAAGATTTGGCTTAAATCAAGATTGGTCTTTACTCATTCAGAAATTTTCAATAGCTGAAGTTTTTGCATTTATTTTAACTATTTCCGATCTGTGCTTATTTAATACTATTTTACGTGAAATAAAGTACAGAGAGGTAAATATTACATTATTACATAAATTTAGAAACTTAAAATTAATTTCTTATAAATACATAAGTGAATAGTGGTTTTCAGAACTTGGGAATGTTGTAGGAGAAGAGATGGATAGAGAGAAGATGGTTAACACTTCCCAGGGTGTAGGTTGGATAAAGGAACAACTTTAGTGTTCTATAAGCGTAGTAGTGTAACTATGGTGGACACTGATTCATTGCTTCAAATTAGCCAAGAGAGAGAATTTTTAATGTTCCCAATCCAAGGAAATTAAACATGTCTGTGGTGATAGTTAGCTCAGTTACTTTGATCTGATTATTGCACACTTCATAGATATGCCAGTCACAGATGCATAAATATGTATAATTACTATGTTGATGATCAGTTTAAAATATTTTTCTATTTATTTGGAATAGAAAATCATCACTTATTTGTGTTCCTGAAAAAAAGCTGTTATGTCTGTAGTATTGTTATATATTCAGTTATACAATAGTAGTGAAAATTCATTGTTTACTAGAAAAATAATTGAGCATCTTTAAGGCAAAGCACATATTTGCCTTGGGGAGCAGTTTTCAAGTTGCATGTAACCTGAAACAAGGGCTTAAAAATTCTGTGTTTACTCAATAAGCAGCAAACCCTGTTCATCCTCAAATAATTCTCAGGGCATTTCCAATGAAAAGCATAGAGTATACTTTTTCACATGTTGTTAGTATTGTTGTAATTTGTGTTTAAAATGGTCACAAAAATCACTTTTGTGATGTGAAATTATCATTGTTCTTAGGGATGAGGCTGTTTAGCTTGAGGCCCCTTGTCTAGGTGAAGTAGTATTTTGAATATTAAGTGATTCTCTCTTGAATGTAGAAATAAAACTCACTTTGTGGAACATTAGAGGGAAGAAACAAATATGGAAGTCCAACTTCCCAGATCACGTTTTATGGTACTGCTCTTTTGCCATGGATATTTTTTGATTGAGACTTTTAAACTCTGTGTTTGGTAATTGCATAATACAGAATTGATTTTTAAAAAATATTTATTTGAATGTAATGGTGTTTAGTTGGAACTGTTTTGTTGTAAATGGTATAATTTTTTCTTTTTAATGGCTGAGTAGTATTCCATAGAGTAGATGTACCACAGTTTCTTCCCATTCCTCAACTGTTGCTGAGAGACAATACTGTTGTAATAATATAGGAGAAAACAGTGTTGGGGGGGAGGGCAAATGGGAAAGGTGGAAGTAGAAATCCCTGAGCCTGTGAAACTGTATCATGAACAATGAAAAAAAAAAAGATACATTTGAAAGATATAGTGACAAGGAGAAACACACAGAGAAAGAAATTTTTCATGTGTTGGTTACTCCCCAAGTGTCTACAACAGCCTGTGCCAGCTATGCTAGAGCCAAGACAAAGAGTCCACAACACAGGCCAGATCTCCCAAGTAGGTGATGGGGATTCAGTTACTTGTGTGTCATCTTTGTGACCTGCTAGGATGTACATTAGCATGGAATTGTAATCAGGAGACGGGGCTGGGACAGGATTCCTGGTAAGATGCAGGCTCCCTAATCACTAGGCTAAGTGCTTGCTCCATAGAATTATTTTCTCGTAATGATGTCATTCAGTACATAATTATATTTTGACCTGCCCAGAATTGTAAAGGTGTACAGAAATCTTAGAAATTTTTTCTGTCTTGTTGACTCTAAATGAAACTTAAAATTGTACTGTTAGAATGCAATTTTATATTTTAAGTGAGAAGATTGTAAGATCAAAATATTCCTGGAGACAGGAAAGCATTTTCTAGGTCTGTTTCTGGTGTGGTTTTGATTTTCAGTATTTAAATGTAAGAGCCATGTTACTTCATAATGCAGAAAATGGGTTCTCTTTTGAGAACCTCCAAAGGTTCTCAATAAGCTCCTCCAAAGGTGTCTCTGAGATGTTTTGATTCTTAAAATGATAGTAAAGTTAGTTCAGAATATTGTGGGAAGGGAAATGAGTCTGTTTTTCTATATATTTCACTTTTCCCATAAGAAGTAGATAAATCTCTCATACTATCCTCTTTCTGTCTACAGTTAGGTGAGTAAAAATGGGTAATCATCTGGTTTACTTCCCTGCTGTGGGTTTTCTATGAGTTCTCTAAGTTTTGTTACAGCAGCTGGCGTGTGGAGTAGTGGATAAAGCTATTGCCCACCATGCCAACATCTCATGTGGGTACCAGTTTTTACCCCAGCTACGCCTCACTTCCCATCCAGTTCCTTGCAAATGGCTTAGAAAAAGCAGTGAATGGCTCAAGTGCTTGGGTCCCTGGAACCCATCTGGAAGAACTGGATGAAGTTCCTAACTGCTGGCTTCAGCATGTCTCAGCCCTGGCTATTTAGGCTATTTGAATAGTGAATCAATAGACGGAAGTGTTTTTTTAAAGATTGATTTATTTATCTATTTATTTATTTTATTCTAAAGTAAGGTATGCAGTGAGGAGGAGAGATAGAGAGGAAGATCACTTCTGATGCAGCCACACGGCCGGGGCTAAGCCAGTCTGAAGCCAGGCGCCTGGAGCTTTTTCCTGATCTCCCACACGGGTGCAGGGTCCCAATGCTTTGGGCTGCCCTTGATGCTTTTCCAGGCCACAAGCAGGGAGCTGGATGGGAAGCGGGGCCGCTGAGATATGAACCAGCACCCATATGGGATTCTGGCGAGTACAAGGCCACTAGGCTACCACACTCGGCCTGGAAGATCTTTCTCTTTTTTTCTCTCTCTGTTAACTATTTCTATAAATAACTGAATTTTTTTAAAGTGGTAAGAATTCTAACTTTTTGTAAAAGAATATATATTACACACCATGATTTTGTGAACAGTTAGATATTATTGTTCAATGGAGTATTATGATTTTGAGTTATATGTGCTTTGAAGCTAGTATTATTATAAGATACTTACATAGTGTTGACTAGGCTGTGTCTAACAGTTTTAAAGCCATTCTGTTTCTGTCACATTTTGAAATTCCATTTTGTATGTCTTATTACTGAAATGTTTAAGAGAAAAGATGTTTGTTTTGTCCCAAATCGAGTTATTTGATTTCATTTTTTGCCATTGTAGGAGACATACAGACTTATTGCAATATTAAGAAGAGTTCATATATACTAAAAATTCCATTAGCAGTTTAACTTCCTTACTTTATTGTTTATGTTCACTTGTCGTCTACATATACACTAGCATATTTCATTGTTGCTTATTTGGAACATTTTGTATAGACTTGTTACCCCCATATCCTTATGAACTTCAAAGTATAGTTTTTTTTTATTCTACTTTTCAATGTTTAATGTGTAAAAACTAGAACATCATGTTACATAACCACAGTATAATTATCCAAAGAGGAGATCTCAGAACAAATTTTATTAGCTGTCTTTTTTATTCTGTGTAATTGTTGTCTGTAATAAATTTTCTACTTGTGGCAGAGCTACAGAGTACCATAGAATACCATAAATTACCCAACCTACTGTTCTTTTTGTCTTTTTCTATTGACATGGAGTACTCATCAAATGCTTTGATGACAATGGTCATACGTTTTACTTCATCATTGCATGATTGTAAGAGTTAAAAGTTTTAAGTTATTTTCTGTCATGTTTGTTGATTATGATCAGAAAATGCTGTTGTGCTTTCCTTATTCTTTTACTATATCATCTAACTAAGCATTTGATCATAGAATTTCTGAAATATGTTTTTTTAGTTTTATTCCTTTAAAATTTAATGTTTTGAATTAAGCTATGTATAGTTTCCTGGTCAAAAGTAAAGTAATATTTTAGTTGGTGGCAAAAATATTCTGAATTTCTGTTTTTACCATATGCTTAGTTTAGATTTTAAAGGCTCTGTTTATTTACTTTATTAATTTTTAAACCCATGAACAGTTCTCCAAATTCCAGTTAAAATATTTGTGTTAATTACTGTTGTGTTTACTGAGCAATTTGATTGAATCATCACAGTCATCTTAATGATGAATGAATTTTTTTTTTTTGCTTGTCAGTTTTATCTTTATTCTGGAAATTGTAATTTACTAAAACTTTTATGAAATTCTTTTGCTAGTTTTTAAAAACAAAATTATCAAGAAGTTGATCTGTTTATAGGCAATTAAATTCTATGACTACTTCCAGTTTATTTATCTGATAATGTACTTAATAAAATTATATACTTTGTTACATCAGCTTTTATTTGTTTCATGTCCTAGATGTTTTGCCAGAGAATGTTATATTTCTAGAACAGAGATTTATAAGGATTTATTAGGAACTAATATTTAAATATTACCGTTGGGATGGGAGTTTCAACTTAAACCTTCAGG